AAGACTTTGGATTTTGGCTAACCTAAAGCCCTAGCAGGATTGAACCACAGGCCGTGGGCAGACGTTTCCTGCAATACTGCACTTTAACCATTGCATCATCTGGGCACAGAAAGAGGGAGTGAGATAGCCAAAATCCTAAGTCTTTAAGTACCCTTCACCATCTAAACATAAAAGCAGATTGTAAATTATAGAAAAATGAGGTTTCAGAATATGAAAGAAGCCTGTGCAGTACAGTGGGAGGTGGTGAGGAGACCAATATTTTCATCCAGCCTGGGTAGAACATGAAAGAGTTACCACTGGAAAATATAGGGCCTGAGCAGAATTATAAATTTGTAGAAGGGGTGGGAAAACATATGACAAAGAGAGTTCATTAATGTAACTGGCCATCATTAGATGAATTTCCAGATAATACTTGGAGAGGTAGATCACAATTTAACTAGGTGAGTTAAGCTCACAAAGATCTGTTCTCATTCACTATTTTATTGAAAGAAAGCACTATGGACTATCATTTGAATCTCACAACTTATTTTGGATTATCTTTTCAGAAATATTTCTTCGTTAAAAAGAATAACACTTCCTATGTTTACTTCTCCATGATTTAAATAAAAAACCCTTAAGCTTTTGCTCCAAATGTGCCATTTAATTTATTCTTTTTTCTTTAGGGCTATGCAACCAAATGCCTTTTGTGGACTTGCTCCCCTTCCATATATTGAGTGTTTCTGGCTTTGTGAAGTTCTTCTTCTTTCTCCTAGAATGTATCCACAGCAGGTTTGCACCCAGCAGAAGGCATATTAACATGTTTAGTAAACGTTGATTCTTTTCTATTGCTACCCAATTTTGTTACTACTATGACTTATTATTGCTGCTTTGATGGGCAGCCACATTTTTTTGTAAAAAAAAGAAATGTCCTGGTTGTCTATGAGAATTTAATTTGTTTCTCAATTGTAGAAGAATAAGACAAGGAATTCAGAAGAAATGGGAACAGTTTGAAGAAGTGATTTGGTGATGTAAATACTAGTTGGAGAAATAGTGTTAAGTCAGGCTGCGAATATTTCTTCATCTAATTTATAGCTTCAGCTGCATTAAAACGTAAAAATAAAAGGTGTATTTTTCAATTGTCATTATAGCTTTAATGTGTGTTTTTAAATTGTCCTCAAACAACATGGTTTCTCTGTGCTTAAGAATCACGCATATTTTTTCATTATCTCAATGATAGGCATGTACATAACCTCAGTTGCATCCAGTCCCCAAATGAAATCCAGATGTTGCCATTCAGGAACATGTTGGTGATATATGACATTACTAAGCCGTGCTATTAATTCCTGGACATCTTTTATGTTCACAAGTAAGTCATTTCCACCAGACCAGAGTGCAACGGGTATTTTTATATCTTCTAACTTGTATACAGGAGGAGTCATCTGGGAAGGAAAGCAACACATTTAAATAATTAGCCAAAAACTGACAGGAAAGGATACAACATATAAAACATTGCAAATTACCACTTTAAGAAAAGCCGGTGAGCAAGCAGAGTAATAGGACTTTCTAGAATTCAGTGCAACCACTATACCTGTGATGAAACTGAAGGGTGTATTTGCGTGTGTGTGTTTGTGTGTTTTTTACATGTGTTTTTTTTTAAAAAAAACTGACATTTGCCTTCAATACATAGCTGACCAGATCAGAGTCCCAGATAGGACAGGACATTCTGCCATTGGTCCAAAAGGAGAAAATGCTAGCTTAAATTAGTATTTTGATGCAATTGCTGATGGAGCTCTGGTGTATGGTGGTTAAAGCGCAATATTGCAAGCGAAGTCTGCCCTCAGCCTGGAGTTTGATCCTGAAAGGGCTCAAGGTTGACTCGGACTTCCATCCTTCTGAAGTTGGTAAAGCAAAGACCCAGATTGTTGGGGGCAATGTGCAAATAATGCTTCTCTATTTTAAACCACCCAGACAGTCTGCAAAGCACTATGGGGTGGTATATAAGCCCCACCTATAAAGCCCTCCATGGTAGTGGATCTGTGTACTTGGGAGACTGCCTCCTGCCGATTACCTCCTCGAGACCGATTAGATCTCATAGATTAGCCCTCCGCCGAGTGCCATCTGCCAGCCAGTGCCG